GGCCCACTGCTTCCAGCCCACCGGAACCGGCCAAAGCCTGTCCCTTTCCCTATCCTCGAGCCACGGCGGTGGCGGCAACCCGAACCTCCCCCTGGAGCTCAATCTGCAGAGGTACGATTTCGGGCCCTGCAGGGCCGGGTTCGGCCCGATTGAGTTCTCGAAGAGTATGGTGCCTTTAGGGCCCTTCACCGGTTACGCTTCTGTCTTGAAGGGGTCGAGGTTCTTAAGTCCCGCCCAGCAGCTGCTGGACGAGCTCTGTGATATGGGTCGGGCCGTGTATTTGGATAAAACCGGGGCTGACCCAGGATTGCTTGACCCTCCCCTGCTGGATAACTCTATCGGGGATGGCATTATGGATGATAGCAGCGGCGGTGATGGGGGCGAGCAAACGAGGAAGAAATCGAGACTGCTTTCGATGCTCGACGAGGTAGTTTTCGCTACAATTGTGGGTTTTTAGCTCTCCTTACTTGAAATTTCAAGAACTGGTTCAGATGTGAAAATTTTTTCTCATTTTTGTCATCAAAAGATTATTTTTTTTCATTTTTTTTGGGCTGCATTTATGTGTTATTAGTGCTGTTTCATGTTACTTTGAACCTTAGCTTGTTAAATGTGGGGTGGGGATGTCTGAAAGGACTAGCCTTTACTGCTGGTACTGGCATACAAGCTGTACCCTTTTGGAAATTAATTAAAGTGGAAAAAAAAAAGAGCAGAAAAATTGATAAAAAAATAAAAATAAAAAATGGGCCTTTAATGTTTCTTTGGTTTGAATTTGATGAGATATAGGTTCTTGAATTGTAGGGCTACAAGTTTTAGTTTATATGTTTGCGTAAAGCTTTGCATTTTTTGGGAGAATCAGCTGAAAAGGGTTTTTATTCTGCAGATAATTGTGTGCAGTTAGCATTTAATTTATGTAGTCCATATAGCCTGCTGAAAAATGTACTTAAATTAGATGTATTTAGTAATGGGTTTGATATTCTTTCTTTGCTCTTTTTCATGTTTTAAGTGGGAGAATGTGATTCTTTGTGTTCCCACTTCCTAAACTTTGTGATCAATATGTTAAGGTTACGGTTGATGACTAACAAAGTTCGAGTAAGCAAACCGAGTAATTTGAACTGAGTTATGCTGAGACGCGAATCGAGTTCAGTAAACATGGTTTAGTATAGGTTGTACTCAGCAATGTCATGAAAGCTAGCTTATAACAACTAGGTTCTTATGCATAGTTAGTGAGTTGCCTTCAATTTAATTGGCATGCTTGGTACTTTCGGCAAGCTCGCATAAAACTTGCGAAAAACTTGGTACAAATGCTGAAAAATTTATCAATGATAGTATAATTATTATAGTATCTACTCTTTGATTATATGCTTCATTTCACATTACACTTGGGTCGAAAGAGTTTCTTTCAAGTACAATGTCTAAATGCATCATAATATGGGTTGTTTATCGATCATTTCTTGTCAAAATTCATAACTTCGGAAGGTTTGCGAATGTCGAAGTCAATGAAATTTGGCAGCGATTTTCTCTGAGAATTTAGATTCCATTGGAAATATGTTTAACTTAGCATGGTATTCATTCACTCGGTTTGTCTGCCCAAATAAAAAAAAAAAGATATATTCACTAGCCCGACTCGATCTTTCCAGCTCTTGAGTGGCTCAGTTCGACTGAATTCGATACAAATAGTCCTTTTTTGTTAAGTAACTGCATAAAAATATACATATACATTGATGTTTTGCATTATAAAATTTCAATTCAAGTGAAGTTATTCTCATTTCTCGGTTCGTGCTTCTCCTTTTTCTCCTAAGGTTTATAAGAGATACAAGCAATATTACCAACAAATGCAAGCTGCTGTAGCCGCATTCGAATCGGTTGCCGGTTTAAGCAGTGCAGCACCTTTTGCTAACCTATCCTTAAAAGCAATGTCCAAACACTTCACATGTCTAAAGAACGCCATAACCGACCAGCTGTCAAAATCTCATGACAAGATATTCTCCGATCGAGACGAAAGTACTCAAAGGCTCGAAAATTCGGGAAAAAGTGCTTATTGCACGAGATCATTTCACGGCGGTGCTGGATATGTGGACCAGCCGCCACCCGTGTGGCGCCCACAAAGAGGTCTTCCGGAACATGCTGTCACAGTCCTCCGAGCATGGTTGTTCGAACATTTTTTACATCCGTAAGTTTTTTTTTTTCATTATATGATACCTTATACGTAGAATTTGTTGGTCGTTTGAGATAATAACTGACAATGGTGAAAACTAATCAAATGCAGTTACCCGACCGATACTGACAAGCTAATGCTGGCAAAACAGACGGGATTATCGAGGAATCAGGTAAACTCTACTTTTGGAAACTCGAACGAAAAGATAATTTTCGAAATCTTTACTTTTTATCCTTGACCTAATGGGAAAAAGTTTTTAAGTTCTCAGTTACTGAAATGTTCCATTAAGATTTGTTAACAAATATCATCATGCTGAGGGCACATTTTGTGCAGTGCATTCAAACAATAATATGATGGGTGTTTGCAGTTAGAACATCCTTCTTTTTTATGCGTTAAGCCATTTAGTTCGCGCTTCCACCGTTGTTGCTAGGGTTGCAAACAAACCGAGCGGCTCGAGTCAAAGCTCGGCCCCAGCATGTTATCGAGTTGATCTCGAGCATAGGTTTTGGAAGGTCGAGCCGCTCCAGATATGTAGTGAATTACTACAATACCCATTATATATAAATATTAGAATATTTTATATTTACTTAATGGTAATTTTTGCTTGAAGTTCGAGTCAAACTCGAGCAATCTGCCGAGCATTTTGATTTCAATCGATCTCGAGCCGAGCTCATCGATTGTCTTCTTTTGTCTAGTCGATCTCGAGCATCGTATATCGAGCTCGAACATTTAAAAAAGAAAATCAATCTTGCTCGATCAGGCAATGCTCGAAATTGGCTCGTTGGTTTGCAGCTTTGCAATGATTATTTTCTCTATCTTAGGATTATACTTGCAAGAGTCATTAGCGACAAAAACCGCTCTAACATTCAGAAATACAAATAAAACCCTTCATTTTTCGTTTTTTCACGTTTCATTTACCCCTTAAAAATAAACATTTCAAAAGTTCAAATTCACATTCATACAGGCACAACAGTTAGCCTCTTGAGACTTCAACACCCAACGACCATCATTTTCGTTTTTTCTTTCATTGTAATGTCGAAGAACAAGTCATCATAACGTTCAATACAATTAGGTTAACTTCAATGGTACTTAACAACTCTACATGACTTCTTGAATTAAACTAGGTCTCGAATTGGTTTATAAACGCAAGAGTAAGGCTGTGGAAACCGATGGTAGAGGAGATTCACATGCTCGAGACACGTCAGCAGGGCCAAAACTCATCTTCAAAATCCGAGCAATCTCCAAACAACAGCAATAATAATGCCCATATGCCCACGACCCGCCCGATTGAATTCGACAGCCCATACCCACCCGGATTCCCTTCCAAACGTACCAGAGAAGACCCGACTAATACTCCTCGATCAAAAAACCCCGGGCCCATCAAATTGCCTTACGACAACTTTATGCCGAATAATGACATTAACAGCAATCATAATAATCAGTTGCATGCAGGCATGGGTAGTGGGGTCTCTTTAACTTTGGGCCTTCACCAGAATGGGCTGGGCCTGCCGGACTCGTACCCGATCAATGCAGCCCGTCGGTTTGGGCTGGACTTGCAGCACGGTGAGGAGTTTGTGGCCCACAACAGGCAGTTTGGGAGGGAGGTCATGGATGGGCAGCAGCAGATCATGCATGATTTTGTTGGCTGAAAATTAAGGAAATGATTTCTTTTATTCTATAATTTTTTCTCTTAGAAGAAATTCTCCATGTGCAATTAACTTTTGTTTCCAAATTATTCATAGTATTGTATAAATTTTATAACTTGCACTGCCAGTGACTATAGCGCATTAATCAATGAAAATAGGATTTGGTGAGATTTATTGCAAAGTAACCACTTGTTTATGATCTTTATCAGAATTTCTCATCGTTGAACAGATTAAGATGTGCCCACGAGCTGCTGTACGTCAAGATTTTGTGAGATTTCGAATTTATTAATTCTTGTGATGCACACAATTTATTGCAAATTTCCCTACATCTAATCTTCCTCTCTAAGCTAGAGTACAGAATCATACCATCTTAATTCAGCACACACTTATCATCACCCTAGTACAAGTTCACACAGAGTCAAAATAGTAAACAACATTGTACCAAAACAACAAAATAAAAAAAAAAAAAAAAAAAAAAAAAAAAAAAAAAAAAAAAAAAACTACACACACAGACAAAAGGAACACATCTATGCCAATGTTTCAACACAGTCTTTCCCTTCATAAGAATCGGTAACCACATTCGTCGACCTTCTCACGTTCTTGTACGTGTACCGGCTAGCTACGAGCACAAAAACGCAAACATCCAAAGCCGTCATCCCAGCTAAGAGCCAATAAAAACAGTCGATCCGACTACTGTTCAAATCCTTTCCGAACCAACTCTTCCCGCCAATTCCCGTCACATGGTCAATCGCCGTTATCAAAAGACTGCTCAAGAAACACGCGGCCCCAAGCATGCCAAAGTACAACGCGATCCCCAAGCTCCGCATCGAGTCGGGCACTTGACCGTAGCAAAATTCTTGAAGCCCGATGAACGCGAACGTGTCCCCTATCCCGACTAGCAAAAACTGCGGCGCCAGCCAGAAAATGCTCATCGAGGCCGACCCGCGGGCGGGGTCCTGCCGGACCAAGTTGAGCCGCCGCCGCTCAACGGTGGCCGCCACCGACATGGTGAGGATGCATATGGCCATGCCGATTCCGATCCTCCGTAGAACGGTTATGCCTCTCTCGCGGCCCGTGATTTTCTGAACGAGGGGCTCGAGGGCATAATCGTAAATTGCGATCATGGCAATCATGCCGACCGAGGCCAAGCCGTACATGGAGGCAGGCGGAATGGAGAAGTTGTGTTGGCCGAGCGTGTGGTCGAGCATCGTTCCTTGCTTTATGAAGAACGTGGTCGCCTGCACTATGCTTATGGCAAAGGGTACGGTCGTCAACCAAACGGGGATAAGGTTGAGGACGAGCTTTAGCTCCTCGACTTGAGTCACAGTCGCTAGTCTCCATGATTTTGGATCGTCTGGCGGGCTTTGTTGTCCGTTCTCGATGATTGCAGCTTTGTCGAGAAACCTTTTGGATTTAAAAAAAACGATTAAACGACCGTTCATTTGAGTGTAAGCGATTGGACTCTCTACACATGCCAATTTTTTTTTTTTTTTTTTTTTTTT